GAGAAGAAAACGAAACTCTTATTACCATACATACGTGGGGTACCAGAAGCCGGTGATCGCATCCTTCGAACTCGGGGTGTTATCATTGCCCGCAAACCTACAACACTGCGATCAATTTTGTTCAACGGCAAGGACTATGTAGAACTACAGGACCAATCAGGAGTGGTGTACGCAATTCCGTGCCTAGACTGTGACCAACGTTACGTAGGAGAGACAGGCAAACAACTGTGTGCTCGCCTACGACGCGCTGACCCGAAGTCACGCCTCTGGAACCACTGCGCAACGACAGGTCACGAGGTCAGAATCAACAACGGAAAAGTAATGGGAAGGAAGGGGGAACGTCTGATCCTTGAAGAGCTGCCTTCGGCAAACTCATTCAATCGACAAATGGAAATTGATAAACATTACGCAACGATTGTACAATCAATGGGGAACGCGGGGTTGATGGACAAACGAGCGACGCCAAACCACAGCGCGAGCAGACCCAATTCAATCAAACATATTATCGTTCGAAAACGAGTCTTAGTCTGGATTGAAACGTCACAACAAATACTATCACTCGGTGCTCGCCCTCTCGTTCTCAATGTATATATATAGGGAAAACAGTAGATAACAGGAATAACAGCAAATTGTGTTTCACGGTACACTTTTTGATACTTTTGTGTTAGTCTTTCGTTCATTTTACGGGGAACGGGACCTTAGAGCAACCGTCAATCAGAACACTACGAACGGCGGCGATGTATACCCTTCCCTTAAGAAACAGTCGGATGTCATGGCGGAGCCACAGGTGTCGCAGGGTGGTAAAAACTGCTCTAGCTTTTGCTGTTCCTGATGTGAGCTCCTCCCCAACAGCAACACCAGCTGCGATCAAGCTCCCTAGGTACTTAAAGCTCTCAACTACTTCCAGCTGATCACCACAGAGGGTGAGTACAGGCACAGGGTCCTGCCGGTCTTGAACAAGCACTTCGCACTTGGATGGTGCAAAGCACACACCATACCTGGATACCTCAATCGCCAAGCGGTTTAAAGCTTGTTGGACTGCCTGTGTATTGTCACCCAAGAAGGCGGTCGTCGGCATATTCTAAATCAAGAACACTCCCCCGGGAGGAGCTCGACTCCAGCGTTGGCTAGACCGGACAAAGAATTCTGTAGAACATCATCTATGACAAAGTTGAAAAGGCATGGGGATATATGGCAGTTTTGTCGAACTCCACTGGAGATGGTGAAGAGTGGCGACAGCCGGTCATAGGACCTAATCGAACCTGAGGCATGGCGACAACTTTTTGGGGATCGACACATCAGTTTCAGTTTGCACAACCACTAACCATGCACTATAGTGCGCCGGTTTTGGATCGACACATACTTCTCTGGTACTCCATTCCTTAACAAACAGTTCCATAGCGCGGTCCTATCGACGGAGCCCCAGGCTGCGCGGATGTCTAAGAACACAATTATCGTTGATCTTTAATAGGAATGAGGCCCATTACGTTGCCTATAAGGAAATAACTAAGCGGCAAAGGATAAATGGAAAATGCCCCTATCCACGAAAACTGGAGTTCATCTAAGATTGTGGTCCACATGGCTAGTAGTATTTCGAATGTGTGAAACAAAAAGAAAATATTAAGGACTTGCATCTACTTTGCAATGGTGAGATCCGGAGAAATTTGTACAGCAGTGTCCAGTCTAGCGAAGAGCTGCGAAAAGCGAAATGCTTACGCGTGCCCTGTGGGATCAAACCCTACAAACGCCCAAAGGCGCTTGCTGCAACTGGAGGATTCATTTGCATCCGAAAGAACAGTGCCTACGGAAAATCTGTACGACAGGAAACATGATCAAAAAACCTTGGAGTTAAATAATCAGATTACATGTGACTGAGGAGCAGTGCAAAGAAAAACAACGATGGCAACTCGTACTCATCTCAAAGTAGTGCGCTTTGCTACTTTGTGTACCGGCTGCGTTGCTCCGATCCATCGGTTTTGCAGTAGTTCAGTAAACACCTGTCTTCTATAATAAGTAGTATATGAATGACTGAACGAAATTTTCCAGAGGCACATGATCGGTTTCATAATCCTTATCGTTCCTTGTCTTAATGATTCTGTGAGGTTGGCTGGTCTGAAACAACTCGTTGAGACGCAAATGAGGTTCTTGATGCTTAATATTTGCCTTCAGGTCCTAGGTTCAATTGCACTGATGGATGATCACCACGTGTGATATTCAAAAAGGTTTAAACACACATTGCGCTTACCTTTTTCGTCCTTGTCTGTTGTGCAAATGACAATTCTCTTACTAGAACTTAGTCAATCACATTTTGGACACGACATGTATGATGAAACCACAACGAACAAGTTCTTTAATCAATATTCCCAAGCGTGAAAACAACCTATCATGAAAAGCATAAAATGAAGTAAATACCTCATGATGGATGCCGTTCTGTACCGGATTTTGAGTGTGCACGGGGATCAGGAAATCGGCCGGGATCAGACGAGTCCCTTGGTGAATTAGTTGGTAGAATGCATGCTGTCCGTTGGTGCCCGGTTCGCCCCAGACTATGGGACCCGTCGCATAGCTTACTTCGTGTGACTGACGGGTTACAAATTTGCCATTCGATTCCATGTCGCCTTGTTGGAAGTAGGCTGGGAAGCGGGACATGTACTGATCGTACGGAAGGATGGCTTGGGTTTCCGCGCCGTAAACATTGATATATAGCACGCCTAAAACTGCCAATATGACGGGCAGCTGAAAAAGACGAATAAGTTGAAAAGCAAATCACATCCAAGAGTACAATGCATCTATGGTAGACAAGATAATCTGAAGGCTTACGTTCTTATGTAATGGTGCTTCCAAGAAGTGTTTGTCCATCGCATGTGCTCCCTCTAAGAGACTGATAAAGTTATCCATTCCTGAAATGAGAAACCGAAAAAAGGAATATTTGTGTTGATTAATAGATCTTACGTCACAGATCAGTGGATAGATCTCATAAGATTATCACTTACAGAACCAAGTAGAGAATCGATTTGTCCTTCTCCTGACTCTTTTATCCTAGACAAGCAAAAACAACACTGAGTAGAGACAAAAAAGACCTGCTCGACAGAGGTAACTGTGGGCTATCGGGGACTACTCTCAACGGTTGAAAAATCCTTATATTTTCCTGGAAAATGAAATTACACACACGCTGGGAAGTCCAAAGTCAACAACTCACTCACCACATCATGTTTGTCATATTTGGTACATGAAGCTAACGGTTAACTTTGAACAACATATTGACACTAAAAACACCAGTAAATAATCGGAGTATATACTTCAGTGGTCGCATCCAAAAGGTTTCAAAATTTTACGAGTGCTACGAATAATTGAGATTTCAAGTTAGATTCACGGCACAGGATTCAATTCTGAGCCATATTCTTCACAGTCTCTAGTCATTCGCGTTTACCACCGCTCAGCCCCTGGTCGAGCACACAGGGAGAAGCCAAGGTTTGACTGCAATGATAGTTCTTCAGTGGAGTATACTGGACGTGGAGGAGCGACCGCCAAGAAAAACGCTTGGGACCGTGGCACAGAAAATCATCCCTCTAGAGAGAGGTCTTGGTGTTAGCGCCACAGGTGCCTTAAGTTGGCAAAAACAGATCTGACTTTGTGATATTGTGTCAAATCCCTCCACCGACTATCGTTTTATTTTCAGTATAAACACCGTTGAATACAAACCACCGATCAACTGCAACGGCGAATGCAGAAACATGTTTATGGTAGCCTTGGAGAAGCACCCTTGGATGGAGCGAGACGTATACAACAGCAGGTTTAGTTGTCCATCTAGGATCGAGCTGCTTGCTTACAGAACGATATCATCGACACCCCACTTCATAGGGAGGAACTCACTATAAATTAGACTGAAAACATTTTACATCATACCATCACTGATCAAGTTGAAGAGGATGGGGGGGGATATAGGATGGTCATCTGGCACACTATCGAAAACGATAAACGATAGTGAAAGGTCGTTACGCGTTCTAACGGAACCCGATGTGTGCTAATAGAGCTATGTGACAATGGTAAAACAACCTTGGGCTGTTAAATTCATCAAAAGCTATTCGATAATACCAATCAAGAGGCTCGGATAGTGGAGGAGATAACCCTTCAAGGAGATCAACGATGTAATAAAAAGTATTCTTCACTTCAAGTTTCTGCAACCATAACCATACACTTCATGCCGCGGTTTTCGTTGTCTTTGGGCTGCCTTTTTGGAGGAAGGAGTAAAGGGAAGAGTGGAGTGTTCACATCAGTGACAGAGTGAAAACAGAGAATTCACAAAGACTTAGAAATGAACAGTACAAAGTTGGGCAGGTCCTTGTGACTATGGGGTTCGCTCCATCTGCTGTTTATCACACTTAGATGTGCAATATAAAAAAGTTGCTGCGGACAAGTGAAATCCTTACAAAGAACTCCAATGACACACTCGAGTACTTCATTTAACAGACAGGACTGGATTTCAGGAAATACCATATCATTATTGCCAGGGACATTTGTATAGCTTAAATATGCACCAGGTACAAAGAAACAGTGAGTTAGAAATGAGAGGCGGTGGTCAAGCGGTTATGGTCGCCAACTTACCGCATCGGAGACCGTATAATCGAACCCCGTCATTGCCCACCAACTTCCTAAATGAAATATATACATATGTATACATCCGAAAGCAATACTATAGTCGGGGGTGGGTGTCTCGTGTTGTGGCTTGCCACCCTTCCCTTGCACTTCGCCAAACGCTCTTATATTACCAGGCGTCTCAAATAGTCTCTGTTGAGGAAGCCATACTCCGTTTTCTCGTGGTGGTTTTCACAATAAGTGAAAATCATCATCATCATCATCATCGTACAGCGAAATTCACTGATCGCTGCCAAACTCGCAATGCATACAAGGTTAGTGGTAAAATTTGAGGTGGACAGGGGTTGGATCTATTTTGGGGGAGGGGAAAAAAGGTGAACCTCTATGGTCAACACACAGAGTGTACAACTTAACTCTGTATAAATACCGTTCCAAGCATTTTGGCCTGATGAGAAATGACAAGAACGCCACTGCTGTCGGTTCGCTTTTATATCCTTCTATGTCTCCAACCAACCAGTTGCGGAGTCTTTCGGGCCCCAACCTGGAAGGCGCCAGACACCTACTCTAACTAATGGCTCTGTGCATTTCTTCATGCCTCGTCTCCACGTCATCTGTTGACCTCCACGTGGGTTCCTCCAACTCGGAGGAGCTACAGCGAATAAGGCGCGACGTGGTAGACGGCA